AGAACAGTCACCACTCACAAAATATAATGATTAACAGAGAACAGTCACCACTCACAAAATATAATGATTAACAGAGAACAGTCACACTCACAAAATATAATGATTAACAGAGACCAATCACCTCAGCAAATATAATGATTAACAAAAAACAGTCAGCAAATATAATGATTAACAGAGAACAGTCACCACTCAGTAAATATAATGATTAACAGAGAACAGTCACCACTCAGTAAATATAATGATTAACAGAGAACAGTCACCTCAGCAAATATAATGATTAACAAAAAACAGTCAGCAAATATAATGATTAACAGAGAATGGTCACCAGTTAGTAAATATAATGATTAATAAAGAACAGTCACCACACTGTAAATATAATGATTAACAGAGACAAGTCACCACACTATAAATATAATGATTAACAGAGACAAGTCACCAGTCAGTAAATACAATGATTAACAGAGAACAGTCACCACACTGTAAATATAATGATTAACAGAGAACAGTCACCAGTCAGTAAATATAATGATTAACAGAGACAAGTCACCACACTGTAAATATAATGATTAACAGAGACAAGTCACCACACTGTAAATATAATGATTAAGAAATATTTAGCCACCAAGTGTTTCCTTATTGCTATCACTGACATACTTCCCCTTAATAATATACTCATTGGCAATACTACATTTATACAGTTGGTTACAAGATAAATAATAAATTGGGAAATTAAACACCTACAAATAGAGATAGTAAAAAAGTAATGAAACAAGGCTGGTGATACTATTGACGTTATTTACTCAAACTACAAACCCCTATTTTGGCTCCATGCTGTTACCTAGAAGTACATTTGGTGGAGTCAAAATAGGAATTTGTCGTTTGAATAAATAATGTCTACAATATCTCCAGTCTTGTTTCCTTACTTTTTTTACAATCCCAGTTTTTTTTATTTATCTTATTTGCTGTTTTTTTTTGCTCAGCTATGGGCAAAGAATTACTTGATATATATAGTAGCTGTCTGTATACATTGTAATGATAATAAACATGGCTTGTAGTGTACAAAGCATTGAGTATTTACATGTTACAATTATATAATGTTCATCTATTATTGGCTAGAAATTCCTGAATCATCCTGTACTTAAGCTTTTTTAAGGAACATCAGATATTTGTAAGAAAGCAAACTTCAAGAGGTAATGATAACATCATTCACACAATATTTATGATTTTTTTTAGCTTATGTAAAATAAAGAATAAACAATTCGACTTTTCAATACCCCTACGACTTTCACAGTACCTTACTTGGTATTTTACAAAAGGTTTGGGTGCAATATAGGCAGATAAGAGAATAAGAATTAGAAACAGGCTGTTTTAAGCAATTTTCGTTCTTGTAAGTCTAATATGCAGGTTTTTATGTACACTTTTATGCATGTTCAGTCTTAGCAGTAATAGTAAAGATTTTAAGGTGTTGTTTGAACTGAATCTTTACTGCTTAAGGTGCTTTTTGACCAAGAATTCTCCTATGGTTTTGTGCAATTCCCTGCAATCCCTATTGTGGTTCATGATATTAAAACAATTTTGAATCTGAAAATCAGCAAGGCACATAAAAGCCAGAAAAATAATGTATTTTTGTTATAGGTTGTTATAATATAGTTTAGTGTCAGCAGCAAAAGTCCACATGCTCCAAGAAACAGTATGCAATATAACCAAGATGGATTTCCATATGGACAAGTCATGCATACAAAAGTTGCTTCTATGAAATATTCTTTCAATATTGGCATACCTCAAGCACCTGGAGAATAAAAACAGGTATTCATGCTATTCCATACAAAGGCATACCAGTCAAGTCACAAAATGTAGTGCCTATGTATTTTTGTTTGATTGAACTGTTGAAACGAGTACAGTGAAACCACAGTCATTGTATACTTCATGACTAATATGAAGCATACAGGGATGAGTGAGGTGTTTTGGATATCTTATAACAGAGCCTTTGCAATGGAAACTACATAATAGAATCATTGTTAGGGAGCATATCTTTGTATATACAAAAACTTTTATTTCAGAAACAGCTTCCTTGTGATTTAGTTACATTTAATATTCAAAGTATATTTTACTACAGATCCAGTAAAAGATGTTCTAAAAATAATACAATATAGATGATAAAATTTGATAACAGAAATAAAATGGTAATAATTACCTTAAATCTTATGCAATTATGACATAGAAATTTGATTTCCTGAACTTTAAGCATAGCAAAACATAACTACATCATATGCACATGGCATGCCACTATATGATGAAAAAAATAGCAATTAAAATACGTTTTGATTTCATTAAAGTACGTGTTTCTTTCTTCACTTATAAACCTTCAAACATATGGTTTTATTCTAAAATGAAGAGAAAATACATAACATTTCAGCCGAAAATAACCTATATAATAGCTATATAAATGCCATGACAGCTATAAATACCCTGTACTTTACCTACACAAACACACCGATTGCTGTTAATACCCTGTGCTTTATATATACAAACACACCGATTGCTGTTAATAACATGTACTTTACCTATACAAACACACCAATTGCTATTAACACCCAGTACTTTACCTATACAAACACACTGATTGCTGTTAATACCCTGTTACTTTACCTACACAAACACACTGATTGCTGTTAATACCCTGTTACTTTACCTACACAAACACACTGATTGCTGTTAATACCCTGTTACTTTACCTACACAAACAACACTGATTGCTGTTAATACCTCGTTACTTTACCTTACACAAACACACTGATTGCTGTTAATACCCTGTTACTTACCTACACAACACACTGATTG